AACAGGGTCGTCTTTACCGCTGGATCCGTGGCGGCGGCACCCTCGAGGCCGAGCTCGTGCCAGATCCGGCGGTGGACGCGGCGGCCTCTGTAGAGGTTGCAGGGCGGCGGCGTTGGCTCTTAGCGCTGCAAGGGGGGCCCGCAGCCCGCCTCCGCTTCTTCGAAGGCCCGTGGCGGCAGCTCTGGCAAGGGCGCTCGCCCCCGCAGCTGGGGGAAGACTGGCTGCAAGAGCTGGACGGCTTGCCCGCGTTCCCAGACCGGGAGCCGTGGACAGCGGACCTCGTGGCCGAGATCCTCCGGCGAATGCCCCGCCGGAAGAAAGCCGGGCTAGACGGGTGGTCGGTCAAAGAGTTGCGCTTGCTGCCGCGGGAGTTGCACGGCTGGATAGCCGACGTCCTGGAGGCGGTGGAGGCTGGCGGTCAGTGGCCTTCCGAGCTGGCGGAGCCCGAAGGCCTCCTGCTCCCCAAGCAGGGCGGGGGTGCTGGCCCCATGGAGCGTCGGCCCATTTGGCTCCTCCCAATGATCTACCGCGTCTGGGCCGCTGGCCGCGCGTGGCTGTTCGCCCGCTGGCGTCTTAGCTGGGCAGGAGAGGACGTTCAGCGGGGCGCCGAGGAGCTGGTGTGGGAGCTCGCCGTGGAGCTGGAAGCCGCCGAGGCCCTGTCGGAGGTGCTTGCCGGCGCAGCGGTGGATTGGCGGAAGGCCTACGACAGCGTCGACCTGGTGACTCTCCCGGGCATCCTGGCCCGCGCGGGGGTGCCTGCATGGATCGCCCAGCCGGCAATGGGGGCGTATACGCGGCCAAGCGCCGGGTCCGCGTCGGGCGCGCCCTTGGTGGAGCATGGTCGCCGGCTCGGGGCCTGCTGCCGGGCTGTGCCCTGGCGGTGTTCTTCCTCGGCGTGCTCACGCACCCGTGGTTCCGGCGCACGGGGTCCGTGGACGACCGATTGCGGCGGCGCCTCTACGTCGACGACTTCACGCTGTGGGCCCGCGGCAAGGCCGACGAGGCGGGCGACGTCGCAGAAGCGGTCTGCAGCGGGATGCAGCTCACTGAAGCGTTCGAAACGGCCATGGGATGGCAACTCAATCACGATAAGAGCCGCCTGTTCGCGAATTCGAGGGAGCTGCGGCGTTGGCTGTCCACCCAGGTGCCTGCGATCGCCGTTCGCTGCGGCTTCCGCGACTTGGGCGTGGTCGCCCATGTTGGGTCAGCCCGGCGTGGCGCTGTGGCCGGCGCCCGGGCGAGGGTTGCAGGGGGCCGCGTCGTGCGCGTCGGGCGCCTGCCGGTGCCGTTCCACCAGCGTTGCCTGCTGGGCGCCGCAGCTGGCACCGCTGCCGGGCTGTATGGGGCGTCGTGTGGGCGCCCGCCCGCCCGGGAGCTCGCAGGCCTCCGGACGGCCGCGCGGGCGGCCGTGTGCCGGGGCGGGCTGCGTGCCGCGGCCGAGGTGGTGTTCGGCGTTCTGAGCCCGACGTGGCGCCTCGACCCCCTGGCCGTGGTCACGATCGCGCCGCTCTGGCAGCTGGCGAAGGTGCTCCGCAGGGGCAGATTCCCGCGCGATCTGCGGCGGGAGGCAGAGGGGGCCATGGCCGCGGGCCATGGGCGCGGGTGCGGGCCAATCGCCGCGGCCATGCGGAGCCTTGCGGCACTGGGGCTCGGGTCCGAGGTGGAGCTCTGGCGCGGCGTCCCTGGGTGCCCAGACGGGTGGCGGCCGGCCGACAAAGCCTTGCGCGACACCCAGCAGGTGTTGCTTGAGGCCTGGGCGCGACGCGAGGCGCGCGAGGTGGCCGCCCGGCGAGCCGACTTCGCCCACGTCGGGGCTGGGGTCGACCGATGGGCCACCCGGCGCCTCCTCGTCAGCGGGCGGTTGGCGCCAGACGCGGCTGGCGCACTCCGCGCGGTGCTCGCGGGCAACGTGATAACCGAGTCCGTGGCCGCCAAGTGGGGCCGGCCTGCGACCTGCCCCCCGCTCGGGGCACGGCTCTGCAGGGGTCCGGTTTCACGGAGGCCTCGCTCAGGGCCGCCCTGCCGCCAGGCGTGAGGCTCTCTGGGGTGCTGCCCGTGGACGTCCGGCTCGAGGCCCTGGCAGTGGCGGCCCGCGCGCCGTTCGCTTTGCCTCCTCTGCCAGCCCCGGAGCAGCCGGATCCGCGCCCGCAGCGGCTCCGTGCCTGGACGGACGGCGCATGCCTGCGACCTTGCGACTCCCTGTTGGCGCGAGCGGCGTGGGGACTGCGGCTCGAGCGCCCTGGCGCAGGCCCCGTCGACTGCAGCGGCCCCGTTGACGGCGCACAGACGGCGCAGCGAGCGGAAGTCACCGCCGCCGTGCGCGCGGTCATCGAGGCGGGCCGGCCCGTCGAGGTGGTGACTGACTCGCGCTACGTCCGCAACGGGGTCGCGGCGTTGCGTGCCGGAGCGTGCCACCTGGAGTGGCAGCACTCCGACCTCTGGGCCGCGATCGCGCCGCATTGCCGCAGCGGCTTCCTGACGGCGCGCTGGGTCGAGGCGCACCTGGACGCCGCGGCCGCGCGCGCGCGGGGTGAGTGCCGAGGATGGGGAGGGCAACGAGGCGGCCGACCTCCTGGCCGGCGCCGCGGCGGCGACGCGGATGCCGCCGCCCGATCTGCGCGCAGCGCGGGACCGCCAGCTGCGAGCACTCGCTGCGACGCAGCAGCTGCTGGCGGCAGTGGAGCTCGCCGCCCTGAAAGCGAACCACGGCAGCCATGGGCCGGGCGGCCCGCGCGTGCGCCGGCGCTGGACTGCTGCTGGGTTCCGCCCCCGCCGCCAGCCGCGGCCGCAAGGCGCGCCAGGGGCGGCGCCGGCGCCCGCGCCGCCGCAAGCCGGCTCCGGGGCGCGCCGCCCGAACCGCCGTGGGGGCCGCGGAGGGGACGTGGCGCCGCCGCCGCCTGGCGAGGCCGCGCGCGCGCTGTTCGCCGGCCGCGCATGGCAGGCGCACGCGGCCATGCAGGGCCCCGCGTGGGTGGCGTGCCTCAGGTGCGGCTGCTCGGCGCCGCGGTGGCGCGCGCTCGCCGCGCGGCCGTGCCCTGGTTGGGCCCGCGAGCCGCCGCCGCGGGCGGCAGCCCTCCTGCTGGTGCCGGCGGCGCGCGCTGGCGGTGGCGAGGTGGCGTGGCGCGCAGCGCTCGCGGCGCGCCTGGCCGAGCGGCCCGGGCCACCAGGGTGAGCTTTAGTTGCGGGTTTTTCCCCCTCCCTCGTCCTCCCTCCCTCCCTCCCTCCCCTCCTCCCTCTGCCGCGGGGCTCTGGGCGTGTCTGTAAAAGTGTGTGCGTCGTGTGTACGTGAGAGAGAGATTAGAGAGAGAGAGAGAGAGTGTGTGTGTGTGTGTGTGTGCGTGTGTGTGTGTATGTGTGTGTGTGTGTGGTGTGTGCGTGTGTGTGTGTATGTGTGTGTGTGTGTGTGCGCGCGCGCGTGTGTGTGTGTGTGTGTGTGTGTGTGTGCGTACGTGCGTGCGTGCGTGCGTGCGTGCTTCTGTGTATGTGCGCGTTTTTGTGCATGCCCGTGCGTATGACCCAGTTAGCCTTTCCTGCGCGCTGCACGCGCGGTCTGTCCGCCCACCCGGTCGAATGATTTTCCTTGCGCGCGCTCGCCTAGCGCAGCCTGCTTTCACCAGTTGTTTTTCTGCGCGCCGATTCGCCCAGCCCAGTCCACCATCTGCAACGTCAGGTGGAGTTGATGCTCGAACACGCCCCGTCTTAGCTCTCGCTGCAGTGACGACGCTCGGCCAATTGTGCGTGTGCGAGTGTGTGTGTGTGCCTGTGTGCGTGTGGGGGCCTGACCAGTCTAGGGCGGCAGACGGCGCGGCGGGGCCGAGGTGACTGCCACGCTGGCGGCGGCGCATCTTGTTGGCGGCCCGATCGACCTGGCCTCGGACAGCCGTACGTTGTGCGGGCGTGCGCCAAGATCGCGGCCAGCGTCGACGTGCGGAACTGGGGGCACGCCGACCTCTGGCAGCAGCTGGGCGCCGTCGGCAGCGGGCGGTTCCGGGCCCGCTGGGTGCCCGCACGCAAGACGGTGGCGGAGGCGCGGCGCTTGGGTGTACGCGAGCGGGACCGCCACGGCAACGCCGCGGTCGACGGCAACGCTGGTGCCGCTGCTGCCCGACGAGCCTTGCCACCAGAGACGGTACGCGCGAGCCGCCTTGAGCTCGAGCTGTTGGGGGCCGCGCAGCGCGTCATTGCTGCCGCACAGCAAGCCGCCCTGGCGGCGGCACCACTAACCGCGCGCCGCCGTCGGCGCGACTTGGCGAGGCGTGCGCCGCAGGACCTGGACCCGCGCGGCCTCTGCGTCGCCGCCGCGGCGCAGCGTCGCAGACGACCCCGTTCGCCCAGGCGCCATGCTCGTTGCATTCTTCGCAGGGCGGTCGTGGTGACCGCACGCCCTCGCGCAGGGGCGCGGCCAGGTCGTCTGCCTCCGGTGCGGCGCCAGCGCCGCGACGCCCGCGGGAAAGTGCTCGGTTGTGTATGCCCGGAGTGAAAGGAGCGCCTGCCGGCGCGCGGGCAGGCGCTCCCCCTTCTCGGTGAACTGCGCTTCGCCGGGGGCAGCGCGGCAGCTGTTGTCATGTCTCGCTGCGCAGCGTCGCGCGCAGCTCCCGCAGGCTCCGGATTGGCCAGCGCATTTCCAGGCGCCCGCAGCTAGCTGCGCGCTGCGCCTGTTGCCCGCTCGTCCAACAAAAAGCGCATGGGGGCTGGTGGTAAAATTGCTTAGCGTGCATTCCGCCTTTGCTTAAAGTAACGCCGACTGCTAATATCAGCGCGGGGGAGAACGACGTATGTGTGTCTGTGCGTGCGTGCGTGCGTGCGTGCGTGCGTGCGTGCGTGCGTGCGTGCGTGCGTGAATGTGTGTGTGTGTGTGTGTATGTGTGTGTGCGTGTGCGTGTGCGTGTGCGTGTGCGTGTGTGTGTGTGTGTGTGTGTGTGTGCGTGCGTGTGTGTGTGTCTGTGTGTGTATGTGTGTGTGCGGGCCAGATTGATGGTTCCAACGGGTGTGTCCCGCGCCTCGGCGTCCTCCGCCGCGTCCTCGGCGGCCTCTGGCTCCTCCAGCTCCTGGCCCTCCGGCTCCGCGTCCGCCGCATCCTCCTGCTCCTCCTCCTTCGCCTCCTCCTGGGGGGTCGGCAACCGGATCCTGCAGCATTTCGCGGATTTCGGCTGCGCTGGCGCGGCGGGGGATGGGGTGAGGGGTTAGATAAGGCGAGCGCCGCACTGAAGCAGACGGGAGGCTCAGTGAGTCCCGGCATGAGTCGTCCTGGGGGGTGGCGCATGCGTGCCAACGAGTAACGTGCCTGACCGCTTCTGCCCGAGCATTCTGCGGAGCCCAGCGCTGCACTATCTTCGCGGCACTGCCAACAAAGATGCCGCGGTATGTTATTAGCCGCGTCGTTCCAAGAGCGTACCTGTCCTGTATACATTCCGCGAGCCAGGAGCGGTACGGACGCTGCGCGAGACGGTGGGAAGCGCGGCCGCTGGCGCCATCGCTGACACAACGCAGTCGTCGGGCAACGCCGCTGCGAAGATGCCAGACGCAGCTGTCGGCGGCGTGCGAGACTCGCCGACAAGCCTGAGAAGGGAAGTTCTCAAGGTAGAACGCACGCCCCGCGAAACCAACTTACAAGATTGCCGCCCCCCTGCGTCAACTGGTCGCGCAATCGGACGACATCGCCGTGTCAAAGCTGGGTGCTTGACAGCTTGTTCGTCACTGGGAAAACAAGCTCCCACGAGTGAGTCCCAGAGGACGATCGACGCCAACGAGCTGTGGTCACACGATGCCTCGCCAGTAAGGCCTGACGAGATCAGTGAGAAAGAAGAATCATTCAACCTGCAAGTGCCAGCTGAGCTCCTCCGTGCGATCGGGGACCGAATGCCGAATGCGTCAGCGCATTCTGAGACGAAGCCTTCGCTGCGGGAGCCATGCCTCAGAGAGCGTGTTGTGCTTGATCCCGCGGCCTAGGCTTGGCGATTTTGCCTCCCGCAGGCTGGGAGTAGGCCGAGCGGGGTTTTGTGGTAGGACACCTGGCAGCATTCGGTGAGGCACCCTTGGCACAAGGCTTTTGGGGCGGCAGGAAAAAGGCCATGTTGTAGCTGCTGGGGAGCCCATAACCAATTTTTCCTCTGCCGCTGAAAATAACAAATCAGAATCACCGCCGTAGACTTGCAGAGCGCGTTTGCGCATGTAAGACTGCGCGCGCGCAATCGTCGTCCGTTCTAGCTCGAGGGCTCCATTCCAGGGCACTCTGTGCACGAACTGTGGAACACATGCCCTGGATAGAAATCGTTTGTCAGATCCTCCACACGCTATGAATTGTCCTTACCCTCATCTGCAATAGGACACACGCGCGTCGCATCATACTCAGTCCCTGTCAGTCAATATGGGAGGGCCGAGGTGAGGGTAATACAATGAGGCCGATCTGGGATGGTTAGAAGAACGAGGAGGAAGAAACGGAGAAGGTGGCAGATGATAAGAACGAGTGCGGAATGCGGAGCGCGCAGTGGCGAGGAGATAGATGGGGGACAGTGGGGATGTTAACTAGAAAAAGCAACTATCAGATGGGCAACCATATGTGAACTGACAGTGGATATAACTTGATAAGTGACACCAGGCGGCGAGGAAGGAGGTGGAGCCGGGGTCGTTTGCCACTCTAGCTCAAGGTCCGTAGCCCGAGCCTCAGGGACCACGAGCTTTGGCACTGGAGGGTCGACGGCCCCGACCACTCCCAGCATCTCGGCAAGGCACCAGAGTCACATGCCGCACTGCCTTCGCGATCTCCTCACTGTTCGGCCCACGGGCCAAATAGACAACAATTGTTGGGCCACATGTGCGGCCAGGTCCCGAGGAAGCCAGCTGTCTCCGACCCGCAGCCCGCTGGGGGCTCCTGGGTTCGGTCGCCCAAGGTCGAACGCTTCTGCTAGGGGAACGAAGATTGACATAAACACACCAGATCGGAGGTCCGCGCGGATTTCTCATATCGGCGCTGGACCCCCCTCCCTGGCGCGCGGAGCACGCCAGGGGCGGCGCCGCTAGCGCCGCCGGGGGGCCCCAGCGCCGATCCCAGAAATCCGCGCGGACCTCCGAGCTTTTATGTTTACGTCTTTCTTCGTTCCCCTATCTTCGGGCCCCAGCACTCCACCGAACACGGGATCGGAATCTGCGCGCCATGCGCTCCTCAGGCCTCGGCACCATCAGGTCTAGGCCGGGCGGACTCTGGACGAGAAATCAGAGATAGCCAACACATACCAGGAACGAGAAGCAAAGATGCCAAACAGATCGTCTCCTGGGATTTTGTCTGACGATTTTGCAAACATCCCTTCGGGTCGGGCAAAAGGGGGGGATAGCAAAGGGGGGGTTTGAGAATCAGCTCACGTAGCTGATTTTCCCGGCGCCTCCCGGCGCCAGGAGGCGCCCATGTATCGAGGAATGGGCCCGGCGGCGGGGCCGAAACCAGCTGCATGCAGCAAATTTTTCGTAACCCCCCCTTTCCCAATCCCCCCCTTTCGCCCGGCCCGATCCCTGCTGTCGAGGGGCGCGCCCGAGCTAAGAGCACGCTCGTGCCCCCGTCGGCTCGGCGAGGGCCCCCCGCCGGCCGCGGGGGGCGCCGGCCGCTCTCCCCCGCCGACGGCCGCGGTCGGGCGGCAGCAGGGCCCCCCAAATCCGCAGACATACTAAAAAACATCGCCCCCCCAAAAAAATGCCAAAAGATCGCCCCCCAAGCAAGAAATACTAAAAAGATCGCCCCCCAAGCAAGAAATACTAAAAAGATCGCCCCCCCCCAAATCCGCAAACATACAAAACATCGTCCCCCCCAAAAATGCCAAAAGATCGCCCCCCAAGCGAAAAAATACTGAAAAGATCGCCCCCCCCCCAAAATGTGCAGAAATACGAAGGCGCAAAACGTGCTGACAAGACAATGAGACAAACTCCTCCTGTAGAGGGACGGGCCCGACTTAATCCTCAAGCCTCGACGCCATCCGGGGGCGCTCCCAGGCGGCTGGGCGAGGGCGTGCGTGCGCGCTGCCCTCTATCGGGGGAAGCCTTCGGCCTGTGCCAGCGAGGCGCGCATCCAAGCTGAGGATTTTCCTCCAGGCGACGCTCTGCAATGCCCAGTCGAAGTTCGACCGCGCCCCAGGCCTCGGAAACAAAAACGAGCACTCAGGCCACATTCATCTGTCAACGCCTCCGCTCCTCCCCATACTCAAGGTGGGTCTGATGAGTTGCACCTCGAACGCAGTCTCCCTGGTAAGGCGTGCATCAAGCTGAGGATTCCTCCAGGCGAAGCTCTGCAGTGCCCAGTCTTAGGTCGGGCATGTCCTCCCACAGGCGGCTTTTGGGCGAAAGATAATTACCCCAATGCGACCCTACCTAGAAGTTGGAGCCCCTAGGAAAACAGTATTAGTTGCTATGCTATGCTATGCTATGCTATGCTATGCCATGCTATGCTATGCTGCGCTATGCTATGCTATGCTATGCTATGCTATGCTATGCTGCGCTATGCTATGCCATGCTAAGCTATGCTGTGCCATGCTGCGCTGTGTTATGCTAAGCTATGCTAAGCTATGCTATGCTATGCTAAGCTGCGCTATGCTATGCTATGCTATGCTGTGCTGTGCTGTGCTGCGCTGTGCTATGCTCTGCTGTGCTGTGCTGTGCTGCGCTATACTATGCTATGTTATGCTATGCTATGATACGCTTTGCTGCGCTATGCTATGCTATGCTGGGCTATGCTATGATATGTTGTGCTGCGCTATGATATGCTACGCTATGCTATGGTATGATATGATGTGCTCTGCTATGCTAAAGCTCAACGAAGCTAAGATGAATGTAAGCTAAGCTAACATAAACCTGAGCTAAGATGAAGCTAAGCTAAGCTAAGATGAAAACAGCTAAGCTAAGATGAGATAAGCAACGCTAAGCTAAGGGGACGTAACTGGGGGAACCGCGGGGCGGATACTGGGGGAACCACCCGGGGCGAGTTGCACTGCCCGGCCCCTTTAAGATAAAGAGTAAGAACCCTTCTAGGCAGAGCCTAGGTAGGGAAAAATAGCCCAAACACACTCAAACATTGTCAGAAGTGGTCAACAAATCGTCCCCAGACCATTTTTCCACTATGTTTGAATATTCCTCCTGTGGAGGGACCGGCCCGACTTAAGCCCAGTCGAAGTTCGCCCGCGCCAAACCCTCCCATGCCGAGAGCCCCGAGGCCGCCAGCTTCACCAGGCAAAGGCTCGCCGAGGCCGCCGGTGAGGCAGCTGGGCAAGCCTCTACAGTCGAGGCGTTGACCTAAGGAACCCTAAATAAGGAACGAGGCCCCTATTTTCTATAAGTTGAACTTCGATCTCGTATCGAAAACCCAAAGAAAATCCAAGGCAAGCTGCGAAACAATTAAGGAACACGGAGCCCCTCCCCAACGAAAAGGGTTCCCTCTTCAGGGCCCCGACTGTGAGGCCTTCGGCTGCCATG